AGCTGACGGTTATTGAGGCAGTTCGATCTGCAGTTACTTGAAAACTCTGTTATCAGAATTTATACTTGGGTAGATGTCAAGTTTATCTCCCAGCTCAGCACCCAAAAACCCCATCCTTTCTAATAAGGAACAGAGTGTAATAAAAGTCATGCGGTGTGGGCAATACAAGGGAAAGGAAATGTAAACAAAAAAACTAAAGTTTACAAACATAGAAAAAACGGGAATAATTAGGTTTATAAAGTAATTATCGTCAACGAATAAGAGCACCATAGTTAAAATGTGCAACTACGCAAATACTGAAAAATACGTAAACTAAAAACCAAACTAAAAATGCTTTCAAATTTTTAGTAGCCCGACTTTTCAACGGTTTTCCCTTTTTCATAGTTTCAATTAAAATGTGAAAATATTTTCAGACAGCCCAAATGTAAACTAAAGTAATCAAAACTGCCTTTATTAAAAAGCAATCTAAAAAGAAGGTAAACATAATAAATAATAATGAGGGGGGGGGCGGAACGGGGTCAAATATGATTAGCGTTAGGGCAAACTGGTAGTCGATTGAGGTACTAAGCTGCTGGCTGTTGGATTAGCAGCTTTTGACCATGATAACTGCGGCGCAGCGACGAAATTCTTTTTGGGGCAAAGGACCGGTCGGCGTAGCCTGATGGCGGCCGCTTCTGCCATAGCCAACAGACGCTGTCGCGGCACCGAAGTTACCATGGTCAAAAGCTGCTAATCCAACAGCCAGCAGCTTAGCACCTTAACCGACTACCAGTTCCCCCTAACGCTAATCATATTTGACCCTGTTCCGCCCCCCTATTCCCCCTGCCCTGACAACCGTTCTATTTTTTCTAGCAACCCGCATAGTCTATGTACTTAATTACCATATAAAGGTAAAGGCCTGATGAGAATTATCGAAAAAAAGCGTATGTTCGCCAAATCATCTTCTGAATTTTTCAATGGGAATTTTCGCAAAAATAATAATGAATTGAAAACTAAACTAAAAACAGAATAAGAAAATAAAAAGTTCTAAAAAAATTACCTAAACTAAAGTAAAGTAAACTAGTAAATACTTTAACTCGAAAAGCAACCGCATGTAGGTAATAACTCTAAAACTCAACAAAAAGTAAACTATAACCTAGCTAAAATAAGTAAGTAAAGGTAATCTATAATAAACTAAACTAAGTAAAGTAAAAAGAAATTTTAAACTATAATAAAACTAATAAACCTCAATAATAAACTAAAAACGAAATTAAAGCTGAACCTTAAAAAAAAAGCACTATAAATAAGTACGGAATGTAACTAGATAAAATTCTCCTTTTATTTAAGGCGCGCTTTTGTGCTGCAATAACGTTGGATTATTTAAACATTTTCTGGGAGGTAAACTAGACATCTACCGGTACTTGCTTCCTTTTGAGCCTGGTAAAAATACATGTTAAAGGTAACTTCCCTTGGTATTTTTATCAATGTTCTTTTTTGCTCATTACATATCCGATTTGATTTTAATCTATTTTAGGAGAAAAATGAGAAATTGTTAGCTGCAGTGGTGAACAACATAACTTTCGCATAAAAGGAATGACGAGAATGGTCATTTTGTAAAAGGTCCTATCCACTAAATATGTGTCGATGAAACATGTCTTCAGTTCATAAAGAAAAAGGCTATTATACTGCATATGCAGAGTCAGCTTAGCGAAAGCGCAATTTACGCATTTTTATAGTATCTAATAGAGCACGAACGTGTTTATTTGCGTATAAATATCTTTTGTAGTTTGTTTTACCAAATTATTTTGTACAACGACTACGTAAATGATAAGCTTCGAAAAAATTCGTCATTTTTCGTCAAGATTGCGATTTTAAGATGTCTAACTGGTAAGTGGCTTTCATATTTTTACTAATGAGCGCAAAAATCCCATAGAGCTGTTCCCCTTAAAACTCTCGGCCCGTCTTCAACTCTCAGTGGTCTAACTCAAGCTAAAAAAAATTTTGAAATGAGAAGAGACCCTACGTTGTGGATATGTTCTATTATATCATAAGGTTTCCCTTTCGTGTTAAGAAAGAGACAATTTGGACAGGAGTCAAATCGCGTTTGTTTCAGATATGAGTTTTCTGGAGGAGATGAAAAATTAAACTACCTTCACAAAATGCAGCTTCCAATACTCCAACACGTGCCCGGAGAGTACCCTTACCCAATAAGATGACGAGCGAATTTAATTGCCATCACTGCGGCCTTAAACGGCAGGAGGATATTTGTGTGTAAAAAGAGATTAGACTTTGCACTTATTATACTATTATACAAAAAAGTTTTTCTGCATTTAAAACGCTCAGTTAACGATCTGCATAAACCTTTCCAAACGTGGTAACTTATAGTGCTAAAATCATTAGGACAAATGAGGTATTTTTTGTTTCTAAGAATGTAATCAACTCATGAAACAGGGGTAAATATAGTCGGTAGCGAGGTTGAAATATAGTTTGTTTTTTTTCCTACTGATAAAGTACACATGAAAGATTGCCAACTGATGCTTTATGCCAGACCATCTCATGAGCCCTATATACGTCGTGTGTTGAGCTGTTGACTGCTGGATTGGAAGTTAGACGGCGACGGTTCCTTTTTAGGTCCTGGTTATTGGTAGTCCTAGTCAAGGGGGTCAAGCCGTGCTGTGACATACGTAGACGGGTTCCCCGGTCCTCCCTGCCACCGCACCCACCCGTCATTAAAGTAGTGCCAATGTGTTTGAACTATCAGAGTGAGCCAAAATCCGTGGCCTTACCGGTTTTAGTCTGATGGGGCAGGTAGATTCTGGTTCGAAGTCCGGGTCTAACTGGGATCTTGTCCAGGCCCAATCCCCTGTGGGAAGTGAATAAATGAGACGCCAGATGG